GGTGACCTGACCAGTGAATATCAGCATGATTAATCAATTACGATGAAGTCAGTGAAGCACATTCAGCCTTGTCTCCTTCCAAAATTCTTAAAAGAAAATTTGAAAGAATTCCATTTGGAGAAAAGAGTGCTATTAAAAAACAAAATTTTATAGGAAAATCTCCCCAAGAATTATGACTCATATGGCTGAACTCTTCAAAGCAAATTTAGAAATTGAAAACTTAAAGTACTCAGTCACTGCAACTATTCTTTCATAAGTATCTTCACTCTTTAGATGACAAAAAGAGGTAATGCATCCAATTCACTTTCTAAGGGAAATAGTCTGAAAGTGGTCCCCTGGAACATATTTGCTTAGGTCATGGGATTTAAACATAATACCACACAACCTCAGAAGTTTAATGGATAGAAAAAATGATTTTTTCTCTTTAAATTGGTTAAAGAAATTCTGATGTTTTGTAGTTAGGAGGAAAAAAAGGTGGAGGACAACCCAAACCTTACTGTGGTCATTATGAGGTAAACACACTGAAGCATGTATTTAATGTATGGTCAGTGTTTTGTAGGTTGAGTGTAGTAGGAAGAGTACTGGACTAGAAGTCGGAAGATCTAGCTTTTTTTTTTTGCCACCGACCTTGGGAAAATCACATAACCATTCTGTCTTGACTTCACTCTCTGTAAAATGGGAATTTTGTCATTTGCCCTACCCACCTCTAAGTAGGTTGTTACATCATGTGAGAGCATTTGAAAATGGTCTGAAAAGCACAAAGTGCTTTATAAATACTTAGTTTTAATAAAAGCAATTATTACTTGCTTATGTTAGTTATTTTACTTTGTTGTATAAATGTTATCTGTTTATTTCCCAAGAGGAACGAAACCAGATGCATGGTGACACTTGTTATAATGTAGGCTTGAGGGAGACAGTGCCTGGAACCTTCTTTATTCCAAGCACTCAGATTTCCATCACTATTATTTTTAGCTCTCCTCTGAGTTCTGTTGCTAAGAAACACTCCATTGCCTCAAAGCAATTTATTAATGAGTATCTACATACAGTATTGAAGAACTGAATTTATTTCAAACTATGTCATCCTAATTTAATCAGTAAGGCCCTACTGGTGCCAATTAATCCAATTTCAAATTTTAATTGTAAGCATGGTACTCGTGCTGTTACTAGTACCACAAAGTTAACCTGGCATCAGAAAACCAACTAGTTAATGTTTAAAAGTCCAAAGGACCTACAAAGCAGGACATTAGAACCAGTAGTCAAATTCTAGATTCTAGCTCAAGTTACACTGCTGATTCTGTAACTAAGCTTTCTCCATCTATAATGTAAAGCTATTAACATTTGGCTCTATCTACTTCCTAGAGTTACTGAGTTTTGAACAACCAACTTAAAAGTGATCTTTTGAAATACAACCTATTTGTTAGTTGTGGTTGCAAGGTGTAGTGTTGAGATCTAGGTCAAAGCTATGTATCTCAGGACAAATCCTCTAGTGTCTTTGAGCCTCAGTTTGGTAATCTGTAAAATGGGTATAATACCTATAGTACTTACTTGCAAATCTTAAAGCATAAATGCCAGCTGTTATCTTCTTGTATACAGTTTGTGAGAAAAAAAATGCTTTGTTCAGTGGTAAATGGAAAAGCATAGTATTGCAGTTGAGAGTGCTGGCATCTGTCAGGAAAACTTTGGTTTTTTATTATTGCTGAATTGCATCCAATTCTTCACGACCTCATTTGGGGTTTTCTTGGCAAGAAGACTGGAGTGGTTTGCCATTTCCTTCTCCAGTTCATTCTGAAGATGAGGAACTGAGACAAACAAGGTTAATTGACTTGCCCAGGGTCATACAGCTAGTGTCTGAGGCTGGACTTGAACTCACGTTATGGCATTCCATCCACTACACCACTTGAGTTTGATATATCTGCCTTTGAAATATCTGACACATAGTAGCATATGGTCAAGAGCAGGTTACTTAACCTTTCAATCAGTACACTAGGAAACTCAGTGAGGCTATAAGCTATAGAATAGTGGCAGATCTACATGGAGTTCCAAGTGCACTGACAAAATCACAGGCTGCACCAAAAAAAAAAAAAAGACCACTGGGCCTATTTCTGAGACTAACTTGCTTGTCACTCAACCATAATACTAACTTTCCTCATCAATAAAATGAAGATAATAATTAACACACGAGAAGCAAGTTGCCTTAATATATGAGTGTTGGCCTTGGAATTAAGAAGATCCAGCAGGTTCCAAACCTGCCTATGACACTATTTGTGTTACTATGGGCAAATATATTAACCTTAGTGTTAGGCAACAAACCCTGCAAGCGCCTAAGTTCATGTGATCACAGACTGAGAACTGTAAGGAACCTTAGACGTTATACCTCATACAATCCTCTCTCTCTATTCAGGGGGAACTGAGGCTCAGAGAGATTATGTGACTTGTCCAAAATCACACAAGCAATAAGTGGCAGTCTGGATTTGAACTCGGGTCCTCTGACTTAAAATTCAACACTCTTTCCACTACCTTGGTGGTTAAGAATTACATAGGTAAACTATTATTATTGTGGAGTTTGGAAAAGAGGAGCATGTACATTTAATAACTAAGATAAGAATGTATATGTTACCTCTTCCAAAAAACCTTTATGGATTTCCCCAGTAGTTAGTACCCTCTCATCACTGTATGTTTCGTATATATCCTGTATTTACTTATTTGTGAAGATGTTTTATCCTCTAGGTAGATTGTAAACTCACTGAGGTCAGGAACTTTCACTTTTGTATTTGTATCCCCAGAGCCTAGCACATAGCTGGCTCTTAATAAATATATGTGGAATGACTGTCATGGTTCTTCCTTTGGTTATATCATTTAAAAGGGTTAAACAATGTTTTGATCAGTGTAGGGAACCCTAGGTGGAAGAATTCTTATTAACGCTGACCGGCTAGAGCTCAGCAATATATAGCCTTCAGGGTTACCTGGGGCACTGATAGGTTTAAGCAATTATCAAGGCTCATACTGCCAGTATTTAACGAGGTAGAACTTGATTTCAGATCTTTAATCAATCAAAAAGTATTTATTAAGCACTTGCAATGTGCTGGGCACTATGCTAAGCTCTGGGAATGCAAATACTAGTAGAAAGAAGTCCCTGTCCTCAAGAGGCTTACATTTTAAGTGGGCACTCCAACACATAAAAGAAAGCTGGCCAGGGACATGGTAGAGAAAGTCCAGTGCAACCTGGAGAGGAATGAGACATGGCTGATCTGGGTGCCATCTAACCAAAGGGAGAGGCTGAAGGGGCAGAGAGTGCTTTCAGTGTGTGAGTTCCAGGGCTATGTTGGTGGGGCATGGTAGAGGAAGGCTGATGAAGCCAGGAGAATGAGGACTCTTACTAATTCCAAAGCTAGTTCTTTATCCACTAAACCAGGTTTCCTCACAAGAGCAGTTTGGAATAACTGAAATATTTTACAATTATAATTTGTAAATGAGAAGTTTCTCCCACTTCTAGTGTAATTAAATAAAATTCTAACAAAGTTTGTTGTTGAAAGCAGTGAAGACTTACAGCTGGATTTAAGAGGTGAATGCTTAATACAGTAACAGGTTAATTAGACACCATAACACTATTTTTTTTTTTTTGCTTTTTGGTGAGGCAATCGGGGTTAAGCGACTTGCCAGGGTCACAGAGTTATAACACTGTACTTCCACCAAGACATTTGGGGTTGAAGAAGTTAGGTACTATAGAACTGGCAGTAATAGAACCTGAGGTGGAACAAAATTATAAGGGCAGATGAGATAAAGGAATACGTTAGAAGACAGGTTGGGGTAGGACTGGGTAGAAGGGAGTCCCAATAACGGTGTACTGCATGGAATTCAATGCAAACACAGGGTTGAGAATATTTAGGGAGCTAAAAGGAAAGAAGAGCTACGGCTTTGCTTACAGGCGGGCAATAACAGCTCATCACTGTCATACGAACTTGGGGTGAGACAAGTCGACCTTAGCAGGGAGAACTTCTGCTTGAAAGAATTATGGGAGGGAAGGAGGAAGAAGTGTTGCAAGGCTCTACCAAAAGTACAATCTTTTCCCAGTACGTCCCCTTTGCCCATAAAAACCTCACGCTCTCTTAAGCTACTGGGGAGCTGGTTCATCGCGATAAGAAGATGCAAGTTGAGCAACTGTTGAAGGAGAGCCAACAGACTTGTACAAAGACACCTAGTACCCAGAGCCGCCCACGAGCCACCGGCACTGGGGCACACCGAAAACCTGGCCCTGGGCGAGGGAAAAACCCCGCCAAAGAGCGGGGCGGAGCGTGCTCGTCCCCGCCCTCCCTCCCCGCGAAGGCCAATAGCAAAGGCGCGCAACATTCCGCCCCGCCCCCTTCGGCTCGCCCACTCGCCCTCCGACTAACGGACGGACGTTGAAATAACTCCCAAAGGTTAGCGAAGCTCTCAACATCCATTATCTCATTAGAGTCTTATTACAAACGCCCCCTCCCCCAACAAAAATCGCCGCGCGCTCGTTTCATTTACATCCCGACTCCCGCCTCCTCAGGGCCCAGGGACAGAGACCCCGAGCGGACGCTTCCACTCGGCGTAGCCCAAGAAACGAGACTGTGGAAAGCTCGTATTCAGACCTCGGGTGGTCCCGTGACCGGAAGTGATCGCCTCTCCCTCCCACCCCCTCGAGATGGCGAGGAGACCGGAAGATCGGCCCGGCATGCCCCGGGTTTCCGGTGCCCTCTGGCCCTTTTCTGTCGCCCGCTCTCCCTGCAGTTCCCGCTGGCTGGCGTGCTCGCTCCGGGACTGGGGCGGCCGGGGAGGGGCGGCGGCTGAGGAGCGGACAGGTCGTCATGGCCGCCTCTAAGCCCCTGGAGGCGGCGGTGGCAGCGGTCCCCAGCGCCGGGGCTGGGGCCGGGGTGGGGAGCGGGGCGGCCGTTCCCGGCGCGGGGGGCCTGCCTCGCTGGCAGCTGGCGCTGGCGGTCGGGGCGCCGCTCATTCTGGGCGCGGGCGCCGTGTACCTGTGGAGCCGGCAGCGACGACGGCGGGATACGGGCAGCGGCGGCCGGGGCGATGCGGGGGGCGGGGGCCTCAAACGGAACAGCGAGAGGAAGACCCCCGAGGGCAGGGCCAGCCCGGCCCCGGCCGGGGCGGGCAGCGGCCACCAGGACGGCACCGGCGCCCACGAGGAGACGGTGAGAGAGCGGCGTGGGAGGGCCCGGGGCCGCCGCCGCCCTCCGCGGGCTGGCCGCCGGGCGCCGACCACACGTGGGTCTGAGGAGCCCGGGCACCGGCCGGTGGGGGTGGGCTGCGACGGTGGGAGTGGCCTTCGAGCGGTGAATTGGTGTCTGTGTGTCTCCCCTCCAGAAAGGGGAGGGTTTCTTGGTGGAGAAAGCTCTTTGGAAGCTTCCCCCCCCCCTTCTGTGACACAGCATTTGATGGCTGAAGGTTCAGGGGTGGGGAGTTGGAGAGAAGTCCTGTGGCTCCTTCACTTTAACTAGCTCTTACCCCGGATTCTTTAGAGATGTAGCAAAGGGTCATCATACATCACCTGTTAAGACCGGAAAGGCTCTTCCAAATTATTATGTCCTAACCCGTCAACTTTACAGGTGAGGAAACTGAGGCCCCAAATGGTAACCAGATTGCCCAAGGTCACACAACTTCCAGGTACAGGTACTTCAAGCCATGTCCATTGTTCTTCCCACTACTAACTGTCCAACGCGTGCTGCCTTTAGTCGTTATCTTGATTTAACTTTAATTGTAACAAAGAATGATAGCTCCTTCCCTTTTTTTTTCTTTTCGGAGAAAGAAGGAATGTTACAATGCTACTGATTAGCCAATGGAAATGGCTGATTAGATTATATTTTAGATACTGTGTCTAAAAGTAGCATTGGGTTTTTTAAAATTGGATTACATATCCATTGAAGCATACTGAATTCATTTTTCTGTCTTAATCTCCTTCGACGTAAATGACAGATCCATACATAAGGTACCTTAAGCGGCAAGCATTAATTAAGCACCTGCCACATATTAGGCACTTTGCTAGGTCTCTTGGGATAAAAATTTTAAAAATTAAAATTGTCCCCATTCACAAGGAGCTTAACGTTCTTAGGGGGAAAAACAATACAAAATAAATGTAAAGTGAATAAAAGCAAGTAAATATAAAGTAATCAAATACAAGATATAGGTCATAAATTTAGAGCTGGAAGAAGCTATGTAGTCTAATTTACTAATTTTGCATATAATGGAAACTGATGAGATTAAGTGACTTGCCCGAAGTCACACAGTAAGTAGCAGGTCTTGGATTTGAACCAGGCCTCCAAATCCAGTACTCTATGCCCTCTCAGTCTCTGCATTGCTATGATTTTTCTGCTGTCAATACAGAGTGTCTAGTGTGCTTTCTTCGCCTTTTGGCATCAGGTAGCTCTGCAGGTTTGGCTAAACTGGAAAGAGCTGAGATTGTATTGTTGATGGCTCTTAATGCCTCTTAATCTTAATGTGAAAAAGCCGTAGTGCTCCTTCTTGCAGCACTGTCTTTGAAAATTTTATACATAAAATCCTTTTACATCTTAAATGGTCAAACTGGTCACACCTTACTGGCCATATGCCCACTTCTGGTCATCCATATTCACTCTAGAGAAAGAGGCATTGTGCAGAAAAAGCAGTGGATTGGAGTTAGACAACTTTGGTTCAGATCTCAGGGGAGTCATTTAGTGCCATTGTAACCTTGAGTAAACAACTTCCTCTTTGAACCTCGGTTTCCTTATCTATAAAATGAGGATTGGGTTCCTTCCAGCTCTATATAATGCTTTGTAGAACTCGTTTATTTAGGGATGGCAAAGACTTAGGCATTAAGAAAAGTGGTGGGTTAGGAGAAGGAATTCTGCAGTGAATCTGAAGCTTTTACTTCTCTTGCCACCCACTAGGTGTCTGAGTAGGCATATCAGTTAATTTTTAAACCTTACTTCTCACATCTGTTTGATGAGGGTATTAGGCAACACTTCCAGCCCTAAAAGAACTGAAGTTCTATGTAGTTCAAAAATTAGTAAGTTATTATTTGAAGTGGTTGTCATACACATGTGCCAGTATTTTAAAATTGAATTAAAAGGATGGTTCATTTTCAAGTAGGAGTGAAAGAATAATGAAATGAAAAGCTTGAAAAGATATGTTAATTTTATATTTGAGGAGAGAGGTCTGGTTTTCTAAATTTCGACAATTGTTTTCTTTGATAAAACTAAAAACTGCTTAGACATTGATTTTTAATAAATACAGTTTTTAAGTTCCTTCCCACCTCCCCTGCCCCCAATTCTTCTTTTTGGCATTTGGCTGGACCTTGGCTAGAACGTTTTGAAACTTCATGCCAAGTTTTTCCTTAGCAGGGTAATATTTCTTCAACTTAAACATATCTTGTCTCTTCAGTAACATTGTATTTTATATTTTCTCATTCATTTAATGGTGCTGACTGAGAATCAGATTTTTATCCCACAGATTATTTGTATATTTTGGGCTGCTACAAGTTCTAAAAGATTGACTTAGTAAATTTCAGTGAAAAAGCACTTCCAAATCCTGGGTTTTGCCTTTATGACAATACCATGGGAAGCTATGTGTGATGATAAAAATAAATTCCTGCTTTGACATGATAGAAAAGATGTTATTAATACTGCAGGTTTGGATATCCTTTTCCCAGCTTTAAAAAATGAAATAAATAGAAGGGGCAATAGAAAAGACACAGATGAAGAAAATGCTAAGGATGTATTAAGTATATGTTTGGTTATCGAGGGTAAGTTTTTTGGTTGTTTTTAATCATATTTTATCTTACAAACGGTGATCTAGAAATGTTGAAAAGGGCTTTTTTTCCTTAGTTTTCATGTTTCTTCTGAGGTCCCTGAGCATTATAGTTAATCTTTTTTTTTTTTTTGCAAGGCAGTTGGAGTTAAGTGACTTGCCCGGGGTTACACAGCTAGTAGGTGTCAGTGTCAAGTGTCTGATCTGAGGCCGGATTTTAACTCAGGTCCTCCTGACTCCAGGGCCGGTACTCTATCCACTGTGCCACCTAGTTCTCTCTTCTCTCCCCCTCCCCTTATAGTTAATCTTGCTTTACTTTTTTCCAGAGTTGAGAGATTCAGGATGAAGAATATTAGCTACCTTTCAGGTGTTGTAAAAGTATTGCTTTAAACTTTAACAGTACTTTTCTGAGAGTGGAGAATGAGTTCTTTTTTAACTGATGGAAAAATTGTTTTGTTGTGTTCTCTCCTGGGGTATAGTTGGATCTCCAAAAATAGGTAAAGTCAGTTTGGGTAATTTTGTCTTCCCAAATATTTGATGTCTTTATTGCCCCAATTAAGGTGGAAAACCGGTGTTTTTTGTCTTCTGATTTATGTAAATGTGGAAAAATTTAATTCAGACATTTTTCAAGGCTTAGATAAATTGGTCTGCCTTTCCCTTGCTTCTGAAGTTTACAGTCTAAAGTTGAGAGATACAATGTAAAAACAAATAACTCTAAATATATTTGCTATATTAATTCTTTGTTTTGATGATTTTTGAAGAGTGAAGCTGTGCACACATTCAGAAACAGTTCAACAGGCCTTTTATTTAGTGCCTTCCCCCTCATTTGCTTTGTATTTGTGTTGTGTGTTTTAACTGATAAGCTGGAGGGCTGAATGCCATAGTGGAAAGAGCATTAGATTTGGAGTCAACAGGTGGGTTCTAACCCTAGGTCTCAATAGCTATTCTGGCCTCCTTGGTCAAGAAAATTCTTAACCACCAAAGCACCTGGCATTATTGAATGGTTCAGTAGAAATCAATATGGTTTATAAGCCCCTTGAGACCTTTCCATTTGACTTGCAGCTGAAACTTACATTTTTTTCTCCCCTTAGTAGATACTGGAGAGAAGGGACTGTCTTGCTTTTCTGCTAATATCCCCAGTGTTTTTGCATATAAGAGCTTTTTTCATTCATTCAACTTCACAGATCCTCTTTTGCATTTGTAAAATAAAGGATCAATATTTATCATGCCTCTGCCTTGTGCCAGGCACTGAACCAGATTCTGTGGGTATACAAAGAGAAGCAGTCCCTGCTCTAAGGGAGTTTATATTCCATAGGGCAGACAGCATAGATAAATAAATGCAAAGTAATTGGGGAGAGCATTAATAATTGGGGGGCATCGGGCATCGTGCAGAAGGTGGGCTTTGGATTGAGCCTTGAAGAGAAGATTGGAATTCTGAGAAGCTGAGGTGAAAGAGTATTGTAGAGGCTAGCTAGGTGGTGTGGTAGATAAAGCGCCGGCCTTGGAGTCAGGAGGACCTGAGTTGAAATCCAGCTTCAGACACTTGACACTTACTAGCAGTGTGACCCTGGGCAAGTCACTTAACCCTCATTGCCTCACCAAAAAGGAAAAAGGAAAAAAAAGGAAGAAAAAAGTAGCCTAGGAATAGGAGACAGCTTATACAAAAGCAGGTGGCACAAAATAAAATGTCATGGGAATTACGATAGACTAGTTAGGCTCTAAATAGAAAGTACTAGGGTGGAGTAATATGAATAATTTTAGAAAGGGCTTTATGTGCCAGATAGGAGTTTGTGTTTTATCCTAGAGGCATTAGGGAGCCACTGAAGCTTCTTGAGCTAAGGAATGTCATGGTCGTGGCAGGGGGGCCATCACGTTGTCTTAACCTACATTTTGCCACTGGACTCCAGTGACTCTGAAGGAGAGAATGAGGCTAATTTTGCACAGCTCTGCATTACTTAAATCCAGTTCACTTGCAAGTCAAGATATCAGTCTTCTGATGTCATTGCTCCTCTTCTAGAATTAGGATGAACAACTGTAAACAACTGTCATGGTCAGTGCTATTGAAGAAGAGACATAACAATATCCTTCCTTCCCTCGTCCTGTAGTACGGAATCCCATGATCCCAGTTTTGGAGGATAGTGATGAGGGTCAGTCTGTCTATCTTGTCTGTCTTTGATAAGGATAGAGAAGAGAGGAAGATATTGGTGAGAATTTTTTTTTTTTTGGCTAGGCCTTGGGGTTAAGTGACTTGCTCAAGGTCACACAGCTAGTGAGTGTTATGTGTCTGAGGC